GCCGGCTCAAGTTTAAATATATATTTGTCATCGGACATATAATCCCAGCATGTTTGACCCAAATGCATAACAGCTGCTGAGGCTGTGGTAAAAACTAAAATGCGGCTTTTCACTGAAAGTGAATGGTACCTCTGATGCAACACTACAGTGAGCAAGTCTGTAAAACCACTGGACTGTTTTGATCAGTACGCTGAAATTTACTGACTGACATTTAAATAAAGCTCGTCTACCAGCCCTTTATGTGGCGGTTAGGCGATAAACAAATGTGTTGCAGCGCGACTAATGAATTGTGACTGAAAGTACATGGTGAATTTACCGAGTGATCGGCAGTAATAAGCTTTGAAACATTGTTCTTAGGCGTGATACTGTATGAAGTGGGTGTACAGTCCTCTAAAGTAAAGCTGCTTTCGCCTATTTATGTAATATTTTAGCAGAGTCTTGCAAGTAGAAAGTGTAATCTGTGACAATTTTTAGATTTGTGGCTTCAAGGTGAAATAATTCACAAACCCTTTTACCCATCCAGCCGCTTGAGATAATAAGACAAACCTTGGGTTCATGAAGTAGAATCTAGTCGCGTTTATCTCTATTTTTTCCAATAGAAAAATATTTTCTCACTGTCTTTTGAGTTAAATAATTAAAATTTTTAAATTTCCTCTCATTAACTTTACCCGGGTTTCATTTGAGTGTTGAAGTTCATGTTCCCTTTCATACGTGAAATGGTGAACAAACAGCACGTGTTAAAAAAGTGCTTTGGATCAAATGATTCACCAAGGACACGGAGGATTTCGGTGCCTCCTCTCATCATATAAGGAGCCACCTCACTGTTCTTCAGCCTCATCTCTATGCTTTTGTCATATTATGACATGCCTTTATTCTGCACTGCACTTGTCAATACTGTCTCTATCTTGTCGGCAGGCTCTGCTCACTGCAAAAAATCCTACACCTGATGATGCAAGCAGTGGTCAAATGGCAGCAAGAAAGACTCATTTCAGCCCCAAGACCTGTAATCACTCTCTTTACCAGATAAGACTGTGAGATTTTGATAAAATCGAGCTAAAGGAAGATTTTACAACAAGGAAAAACTGCAGCTTTTCTTGCCATTTCTCGTGCTGTGACTGTCTCCTCACAAAAGGATTATTGGTGGGAAAGAAATTATTGATAAATATTATTATATAACGCTTTCCACAATCAGTCTATGGGAAATTTGCTTGATAGAGTAAGCCTGGGTTGTGGTCCTTTAATCAGTGGGTTGACCAGCGACTCCAGTTACATGTCTGTGTTTCTTTAAAGCTCTGTGTTATAATTAGGCATAATACCACTACACCACTGCAGACTGTTGCTCTTTTAATCACGCAAGTATATGTGGCCTGGCGTTTGCCATAACAATGTGCACAATGGTAACTGTAACGAAAGGTATGGCATGGCAGCGACACGTCGCGACGAAAAGGGTGAGGAGGACAACGTATAACACGCCATTTTTTTTCCAATGTCCAAAAATAACGAGGAATTAAAAAAAGAAAGGGGGAAACAGTTTCCAGTATGGCAACAAATTAGAGTCAACTCATCACCGTGTTACTGCTGCTCTTCAAACTAGTCCTGTTTTTACATATCTACACCCCACACCACTGTACTCATATCTGCCTTCCCAGTTTAAACCAGTCAGGACTAGACTGAAAAAACACCTAATTTATTTGTTAAGCACCGTAGCAACAAATTAAAATTTACAAAAAAAAAAAAAATTCAGTCAGTAATAAACTAAATTACATTTCATGAATCACTGTCCAATTAATTCTGAGTGCCCACCTACTCATACTCCAAATAAAAGTGGGTCTGTTCAGTTGACCTTCTTCTTTAAACACCAGCTCCACAAAGGAAACAACTAAGACCAGGTTTTATCTTTAATAAAAATGTATCTTTCACAAAAAGACTAAATCTTAATTATAACTGCTTCTTTGTGTTAAACAATTCAAAATAAACTAAACACTAGTTGGACACTCCCTCAGGTGAAGCTTGTGGACTTCAGCTCTGACTTACCTCACACTGATAGAAAGCCTGGTTTCAGTGGTTTAAATGCTAGTTAGCAGCGATTGTTAGCTTTAAACCGGTCTGTCATGTGATTTCTGGGTTTTCAGAGCGACACGAGACAACTAACAGATCTTCAACCCAATATGACTCTCCTCGGTACAAGTGTTTGCTGTGGTGATCTGAGTACTTTGTTCGTTTGTCTACCCACCGAATATGTTTATGGCAAAAGCATTGTAGTATGATGAAAAGGGGATCCTTTAGGCAGATATATCACTACTGAAAAAAATCTGTCATGTTAGACATTTGCCTCTCTCTCTCTCTCTCTCTCTCTCTCTCTCTCTCTCTCTCTCTCTCTCTCTCTCTCTTCTTCTTCCTCTGTCTCTCTGTCAGTCCTCCAGTTCTTGATGTTCGGCTCCCAGCAGTCTTCTTCCAGTCAAACCACCAGTGGGGGAATATCACCCGTTTCCTTACATGTCATGAGTGGAGCGAGGATGCAATTTTTAGTGCCAAAGTGTCTTTTAGAAAAGTAGGCCAAGAGCATGAGGGTTTTTTATTTTTATTTTTATTTTTATTTTTTTTTGAAAAGACAGAATGACAGAGAGACACAGAGGGATAAAGGAAAAGAGACGCATAAACAGGAGAGTTTCCATCATCTGTGTGTGACGTTTTGTTTGTTTGTTAGCGGGACAACCATCACTCTCATACAAGACAGCCGACATGAGGACAAACTCTCTTTTTTCATTTCCCCCATCTTATTCTTTCTCTCCACATACACACATCACTGTCGCTGCTCAGTTCAATCAAATTTAACTCAATTTTAAGTAGATTTATAGGCACGGTTTTCAAAACTTAATAATAATCACAAAGCAGTTTACATTAAGTAACATGTGCAAGACTTATTAAACATAATATAAATACAGATACATAAATCACAGACTATTACTGCCTTATTTGAATGCATGCGCACACACACGCACACAGAGAAACATTTGTCTTCCATTTTTCTCTTGAGGGTTGTGATGTGAACTAGAACTATGGTGTTTACATCATAAAGAAATGTGCTTGCACATGTTTTTTTATTTTATTTTTTTTATTGGCCGACTGCAGCGCTGTGCATTAGCTTCCCCCACTGCGCTCCATACAGCGCTAACGTCACTCTAAACAAGGTGTTGTGGAGGAGGTCAGGGCGGGTGACTGGGTGAACACAGCATGTGACTTTGACATGGGAGAATGCTTGTCATGTCGCGTTTCCAGCCAAAAGTAAACACTGGTTTCTTGTTACCATGACCACACTTCTCTCCGTGTACTCTAACATGTGGAGTTTTCTTATAAACCAAAACCAACAAAAATTACTCTTACCAAAACTCAAACTGTGTGTCCATGATGTCGAACAAATGTGCTGAGCTACTTATAGAACATTTGCAAAGCTGATTTTTTTTTTAGAATATTTTAAAACCTGCATGCAGCAGTTTTTCTTCTTCACTGTTTTTGTTTTGCACCCTGCTATGTTTGTTGCCCTGTTTGCGCCGCCAGCTTTTGATGATTTTACATGTGCATGAACTAAACAAACTCATAAAAGCATTACTCCACAGGCTACAAGTGGTCAATAACTCCACAGGTTACCTTTGAGCAGGTAATTTTATTGGCCTAAACCTTTCATTAACCATAGAGGCGACTGATCGGAAAAAGCTCAAATGGATCAATTTAACGCAGTGGCTCTGACCAATCATACTACTAAGAGAGAGAGAGAGCGAGAGAGAGACTACACATACACAGCTACTACTACAAGGGGATTCAAAGTAAATGTTGATTTTTGTCATGCCGATGTATGGCAATACTGCTCGCAGCTCTAATGAAAATATTGTGTGTAGAGCTGAACTGAAACTGCAAATAACGAGAGCGCGAGCAAACAGAGAGAGGGAGAAGAACGACAGAGAGAGAGGGAGGGAGAGAGAGAGAGAGGGAGGGAGGGAGGGAGAGAAGTGAAAAAGAAAGACAGGACTGCTGTTGCCACAGGAGAGGTTTCATGTAAAAACACACAGTCGGCTTTCCTGTCCAATTCGGCAAATTACTGATGACCGAGGGGGGGGGTGAAATGGATGGAGTGTGTGTGGCGGGGCGCCCCTCTCATCTCATTTACCGGCTTAGACAAGATCTCTCTGTCAGAAACACTCACACACACACTCACCCACCAAAGTCAGCCCTCTGAAATATTTACTAGCCTCATGTGGGGAAATCTCTGAGGATTATCCCCAATAACCTGTTTAACTTAATCCTTATCTCACACACATGAATAATAAACCCCCCCCCCACACACACACACACACACACACACACACACACACTCTCCGTCTCTTCCCCTCTCTCCCTGAGAAGTAACGCCTCTCTCACCTTACTCTCCATCACCCTCCCTCCCTTCCTCTCTCTCACACACTCACTCCATCTGCTTCATGAACATGAGCCGGCTGCTTTCTCTGCCTCTCCGAGCGTCTTTGAGCTGTTTTGACACGCGCGCTCCCTCTCTGCCTCTCTGCCTCTTTTCTTTTCTCCGTCTTTCCACCAATCCCCACACCTCTCCATACCTTTGTCTCTCTCTGTTTCCCCCACCAGGACAGGAAAAGGATTGGTAGCAGGGAGCACCAGCAAAAAAAAAAAAAAGAAAAGAAGAGCTGATAACAATAACAGGAAGTGGGCAGTGACCTGTGTGAGAGAGGGCTGTGGTTGCACAGCTGCGGTTCAACACTTTTGACCACTGGATGAGAAAACCACATCAGAGGTGACGGGAAGAAAAAGGAGTGAAACCTGTTGGAGTCTCACCTGAGGAAAAAAATCTCGACAACCTGAGGAGGAAAAACACGACGACATTTGGGGTAAAAAAAAAAAAAAAAAAAAACTCCAGAGTTGGAGCGACTGGAGTTTTTTTTACCTCTTTGAGAAAAAAAACACATAAAGAAAGAGAGTGGTGAGATTTCCACAACAGAGTAATATCTCAGTGATTATCTGCTGAGTGAACTCTGTTTTTTTTAGTCTTAAATTTGTTTTGGCTCCCTGAGAGTCCGTCAGTCTGTCTTTGGAAATCCAGCTCTGGGATACATCCTCAATCAAGAGACATCACCTGATACATCATCGTCACTGACTTTTTTATTATCTGGTTCCACAGTCCAGAGAAGGATTTGTACAGAAACCTGGTGGAAAATCGGGCTGAGAGAGAAAGAGAGAAATCCCTGCCTGTACAACGACACCTGCTGCTGTCCAGCTGACCGACAGGAGAGAGCGTAAGGGTGAAGAAGAAGGCACAGTTGAATCAGGAGGTGGTTTTACCCTCTGCTGAGCTTACGACCACCAACCAGCCACTAATTTCCACCACAGCCTGACAAATTAGTACAGTCTGACTGAGGAGGACCTTGAAGGATTTGGGCTTCATTTTGGACCAAAACAAAGGTCTGATCACCAGTTACGGCTCTACTTGGGTCAGGCTCTTCATCTCTGTGGTAAGTTTTCTGTTTTTATCTTAGAGTTGGGAATATTTTAAGAGAAATACTGATTGCACGGGTGTGTTACATGTGTGTGTGTTTGCCTGGATGTGCGTAAGGTGCTAAGAGCTTTCCCATTCATCAAATGGGAGAGTGAATATACATCCCCTCCTGACTGAAAAGCAGTGTACAACAGCGTATCCAGAAAATGTAACCCAGATCCCTTGAGAACGCTCCTGGCTGCATTCCCAGTCACTCCAGGGTGAAACGCTCATGAATACCGGTCAAACTGTCTCGAAGAAGGTACAGAAATAACTTGAAATGATTGGTTATAGCCCCTTTAAGGATGGGCTGTCGGCCCCCGTCATTGTTCACATATGTTATGCCAATGATCTCGGACAGCTCGGTGTAGAATTGAATGCTGTAATTGAGCGCTGTTACCCCCCAGAGGCTGGACTGTCATTCCTGAAGACCGTCGGCTGTGACCATTAAGACGATACAGGATGATCTGTGGACAGGGGGGGGGGGGGGTTTAAAAGCAGACTAAATCCACCGGGAGGTCTTCAGCTGTTCACTTTGACGGGCTTAACATAAAAAAACACTTTTTTTTTTTGCAGGGACTGTCAAGTTGATGTCAAGTTGGTGGCTGTAAAGTATTGATGATGCACATTTAATATTTCCAAAGTGGTGAAAATCTTGTCAGTTGAGTGGTGTCATTTTGTCAGCTGAAGACTCCCCGGCAATACATATACAATTAATTTAACAATTAACAATTTATGCCAAACATTAGATAAAGGGGTAGACAAAATGAAACCTCACAGTATGATCTTGATACAAGTACCTTTTTGTAAAGACATTTTTTTGTTGGGAGCCTGTTATTAGAGCTTATTCATGTAATTTCTGATGTTCGTAGTTGCTGCTGTAGTTGCCCTGGAAGTGTTTCTGTTATTTCGTCTACCATGTGAATGTGAGACTTGTTTCTGGGTAGTGGTGGATTTTTCTCTGAGGATCTGGATCCATGGCCCCTGAGGGACAGAGGTGATTTGATTTGGTTGTTACATCGAAAGCCGTTGATGCAACTAAACCCAGTGGTCTAATTCCTGGAGAGGGAACTATCAGGGAAAATCCTTTGGGTGCCATCTGGGAGACTTCACCCTCCCACGCACACACACACACACACACACACATGAATATACACACAGGATTCATGATTAGAGCCATTCATTCAGATATATGTCAGAGTGGTTGACAAGCTGTCCAGCTGTGGCGATGTTAGCTCAGCTGAAGTCGCTGATTACTACTGAAAGACCCAGTTACGGTTTTATTTTTATTGTCTGACCTGTATTCTTCATTTTACATTGTAAACCACCTTGTGTTTGAACAAATGTTCTTTTTCCACATCAGTATTTTTAAATCCCACCCTCAAGGAATGGATCAACGGGGAAATGAATAAGATGAAGTGTATCAGATGGCAGTACATTAAACAATATGAAAAGTGTAAATGCATAAGAACATTTATAAGGAATTTATTGAATCGCCAATGATTGGTCCACAGCTCCACCTCAGTTCAATATGTGGCATTCAAAGTCTTTCACATGCTGTTAGTTGATCTTTTGGACAGTTTAACATGTATTTATTAATGACAGCTCATCAACACCTCAGCAGTTGTAATTTGTTGGTTGAAAATGGACGCTGCAACAAAAGGGGTAGATTTATGAGAAATAATCTGCGTAACTTTAAGAATACACGACTTGATCATTCATGACCCAATCGTTCGGCGTGATCTACATGGACGAGAAAATCTCTTTTCCCATAGTTGGGGTCCTTTTAAAAATTTTCAGTATTTGAGGCGCTGTAGCTGTAAATTTAGCCTTCAGCGCAGACGGGGGCTGACAGCTGAGCCAAAACCACTGTGGAAAACACGCTAGGCTTTAAATTATTTTCAGATGACTGTTGGTCATTACTGTCAGATTTAAAGCTGGCCGACATCATTCATAACAGGTTCACGGCGATACAATCTGATTTGTCTGATTGTGAAAGAAAATAGAATTAACTGTAAAGCGCTTGAGCACCAATCAGAACATGAATACCCTGTGTGACATGACAGAGTTTCAGTGAGGACACCGTGTGTGTGTGTGTGTGTGTGTGTGTGTGTGTGTGTGTGTGTGTGTGTGTGTGTGTGTGTGTGTGTGTGTGTGTGTGTGTGTGTGTGTGTGTGTGTGTGTATATAGTGGTTCCTAGTGTGACTTGCTGGCAGACAGATTGTTAGAAGCTGCTCTGTGATTAAACCTGTTTTAATCTTAACAACAGACACACACCATGCTATTCAGCTGTCGAACATCACAGATTTGAGGCTTTGAAATCACTTCCTGTGCCACGTACACACAAACAAACAAACAAACCCTTTGATTTTAGGGTAGTAAAAGTAGAGTAAAGTAAGCTAAACTGTGTCAAAGACACCACGTTGAGACTGATTTTTATGTAAGAAGATTTAAAGACTGAAGTTCCTCTGGTGCTCACAGGGGGTGGTGTGTTCCTAAGAAAATGTTGGACAGAAAGAACATCATAGTCATGATTTATTCTTGGAGCCTTGCCAGGTACAGGGATAAATTGCAAATTTGACCCCAGGATAGCTCTGCAGAAAAAAAAAAATCACCACATTTCAACAGGGTCTTCCTCTGGAGAGTATTAGCAAATGCTATGGCAGCCACCCTATTCCATTATGCAGCAGGCTATCATGGGCTCAAGTAAAAATGCTCAGGTAAAGGTGGTGCTAGAGAAAAAGGTCATGTGATCATCAAATTCAACGTGGTTCATCCTCTGGGGACCTTGGATAACCTTAAAAAAACTGAAAGGGAATCCAGCCAGGAGATATCTCTAACGTTTTGGTCTGGAGTGCCCAGAAAGTTCATCCTATGGGGAGCATGAATGTTCTCAATATATTATATAACTTTGGGCAGTTTCTTGTGCAAAATTTTAGCCTCAGCAAGATCTTAAAGGTGAGAATGTCCACCACAAACATCATGATGGTAATCAGACCATATATTCAGATCCCTTAAAAACGGGAGGTGGTGGCAGCGATCTAGAGTTCTGGAGCCAGGCTTGTTTCTTATGTTGAAGACAGAGGACACATTCACCATGAAGTGTCGAGACATGATGAATGATTTACAGACGATCTCAGATGAACTAAAGGAGAGACAGATTCGTCATGGAAGAATTGTATTTCTGTCTTTAAAACACAGAACACACAACAAGACTTGCGCATGAACTTCACCGACCCTTCAGCAACCGCCAGGATTATGAAGTCTTGTTGACTTGTTTCTGTGCTTTAGCCTTTGGTACATTGAAACTAGGTCAGACTTGTCTGCCAGTCACAAAACATCCCGGAGAATGACAACTGTATCTCTGCGTCTGTCTGTTGCTGCTCCTCCGTCACACTCACACACTCTCTAGCCTGCGGACAATGTACAGATGTAATTACAGATATTCCTGGATGTTATTTATTCCCCATACCTCTGAAAGATGCCTTTGATAAATTATGTCGTAAATAACTTTGTATAATCCTGTGTGTGAGATTTGCGCGCGCAATGTATTTTGCACTTGAGACGAAAATTTAAAAAGTGATCACAACTGCCAGAATTAATAGAAATGACGGGTTTATAATAACAAACTAAACTGTTTATTTACACCTAATCTTCTCGAACACACTCAAGACTCCTGTCACTTTCCATGCATCAGTCCGTATACCTAGCATATACTAATTTAAAAGTAACAAATAAAGGATTTAAAAATAAACTAGAGTTTATAAAACAGCTGTGAAACAGGGTGTATTAGTGTGTTGATCTTCCGCACCACCTTAAAAGGTGTTAAATCTGCTTTTAAGGTGAGGTAGAGAGAGTGACAGGGCTGAAAAAGAGGAGAGGTGAAGAAGAAAAGGTGAGAAAAGGGAGAAAAAAGGAATGATAAACAGGAAACAGAAATAAACTATGTGAAAAACACAATGCAGTTTTCACCTTGAGAGATTCAATTATAGAGAAAAAGAAAGAGAAGGAATGATGGAAAGAACAGACGAACAAAATGAAGACAACCAAAGTGAGACAGAAACTGAGACAGACATTTAGTCAGCAACACAAGTGAATACCAGGAAGGGTGTGTCCACTCACTAATGATGACCCCTCATTAAGAGACCCCAGAAGTTATTGTGTATGCACTTCCTGTTGCTGATAAAAGGGGAGGGGTAAGACGCTGGCTGCTGAAGGAGGAAATGCTGTTTTGAAAAATTCCCTTTTTGGGAAAATGCCCCCAATGGATTTGTCATCACAGAAATAACTGAGCACGTATGTGTGGAACTGAGACACAGGATGCTGTGGTTGTGTTTGTGTGAGTGAGGCGTTACTGTATTTGTGATGGTGAGGAAATGTCCAGTTGGATTCTGAGTCAAGCTGTATCTCAGCTGTTTCAGTCTTATTTAAATGATATACATATATAGATATATATGTATTTTTTTTTCCTGTAATATCCCAGGAGAGCTAAAGCCAAAAAATTAAATCTTCATAGCAAAGTTGACAAGGTTGTGGGTTGGAAATTTGAATTTTCAGTGCCCAGGGGCCCCAAAATCTCCCCCCAGCTCACGACTGATATTAAACTCAGTTCAGTCGTTAGTTGCCTTGTAATGATGTACATTTTTGTATGTTCAATTGGATTAGGCCAACCACCCACACAGCATGAGCAGCAGTATAACTTAAAACACACAGAAGATGTCCAACCGCAGACAGTAAACCAATTAAAGTGTTTTACTCTAAAGTACTGATCTAATAAATGACTGATTCATGAGTTTATCCATCACATCCCATTAATGTTTGAGTTTTGCCTTTGAAAAATGCTTCCCGCCCCCTCACATGGATAAACCCCCCGTCCTTTGTTCTCATTCAATACAGTAACAGTGAACTTGTTATACCAGCAGTCTTCTTAAAGGGAGTGAACCAGTTATAACACATGCATTTACAAATCATAGATTTTACACATTTTCATATTCTGGTTATTTAAGAGTCAAATACAGTTAAACAGCTTCAGTAAATGTTAGATAACTCAACTTGCATGAGTTGTTGGGTTGTTTTCCAAGCTTTGTATTCATCCGTGCTGTTTGTATTATCGCATGTTTGTTTTGAACAAAAACATTTCTTAGTTTGTTTAAAACACGTTAAAAGTCTTTTCAAAATTACCTCAAGACTCATTCACAAAATGATTATTGGTCTGAGAATATAAACAACAGACTCTGCTTGTTGGATTTTTTTTTCTTTCTTGAAGGTCATCTAAGGAGGTTTTCTGCAGGCCTATGTTTTTTGGAAGTGGCTGCGTGAGAACATACATGTGCAGCACGGGGTGCGATTACTTTGTTTGTCCAGAACACGTTGAGAGGAAGGATATGGGCTGACACAAAGTAAAAACTACACAGGGTGATGAGAGGACACTGCAGGAAACTGTCAGGAAATAAGTTTGTTCTTGAACAGAAGTCAGTGTCTCAGTGTGACGTGCTTGTGTTACGATTAAGTGTTTGAAAAATGTTTGGAAAGACCAAATGAACTCACTAAAACAAACTAACGGTCAGCAGCATGAGAGCTAAACTAACCTTATCTGAACTCAAGTTGCCTTCAGAAACATTACATAAAACAGAATTTACACCTGAATGAAGTCAAATACAAGTACATGCACAACCTGTGCCAAGAATTAAAGAAAGAGAAAAACCATTAAAGAGAAATTATTTGAGAAAGTGAGTTTATTATGGGAGAACAAAGACAACTGAGAATATGAACCCGCAAATCAGCATTTTCCAAGACTTTGATTTATCGGTTTTATCTACAAGAACTTATAGGCGATCGTGGGAGATACAAAGAATCTGAAATAAATCACTTCCTGTTCACCTCACACATCTTTTTCTTAGACTCATAGTTAGGTCGATCAGTAACTGGAATCAGTGTTATTTTGACTTTACAATGTGGTCGACTGCAGGTAAAAATGTCCAAGAACAGGAAAGGCTCAGAACAAACCATCAGCGTGGTTCTTCTATCACAGAGAGAGGAACACTCTTCCTTGGGTTTATTTATAACAATCGAGACATGCATCCGCGTATTAAGAGCTCAACGTGAACTGATAATTAGATCAATACATCAGGTGAAATCAACGAACACCAGGAGTATTGATTGAAAATAATGAAACGAATGGAAGATAGAAAACACAGAGGGATGCAAACACTTGCTGTTGAAGTTATTGAATAAGAATAAAGTCATAGGGAAGGTTAGTAGCAAGTGAGATTAAAGATTTAGGAGGCAGAATAATTTCTCATTGGTATTAAATTTTAATTTACATGTGATTGCTTGTGTTTATTACCAGTGTATGGGGACAGATATGGGGGGATCTACAGTCAGAAAAGTCAATATTTATTGGAAACACACACATGTGCTATAGCAGACCCTCACTCTTCCATTCACAGTAAATTACAATAAAGGACGACGCACTTCTGTTTTAATTAATTTAGTCCTGAAAGGAAACTAAACAAAGAAAAACACAAGAGGAAAAATAAAACCCAAACAAAAGGATGTGAACCAAAGGCCAAAAAACACTGTTGAGTCTTTGTTTGAGCTGATTTGTGGGGAGCCGTGTGAAGAGGTCAGGGGAGGTCAGCAGAATACGAGATTAGGCCATTAGAGGGAGAAGACTTTGTGCCAGTATAATCCCCTCATCATAATCTCTCTTTCTCCCTCCCTGCTGCTAATGGCTGGAAGACAATAAGATGCACTAATCTGTCTACTGGGATGGCACAGGGCTGCGCCGAGATATCTACTGGAGTACAGAGCACATATAGACTAAAATGTTTTGAAGATTATTTCCCTGGCATTTCTGCTTTATTAGATAGAGCCTGGTGGGGGGTGGGGATGGGGATGGGGGGCTGGGGGAGATAGAGAGACAGAACGAGGCGGAGAGACGGCAAGAAAGAACAGGGAAGAAAAGCTGAAGTTTACCCGCCTGCTGGTGCTTGTGGACGTTACCTTATACATTTTTATTTTGGTTAAGTAGTGCTAAAATAGCTCGTAGGCAGGAACAGCTGATGCAAGACGGTGAAACGTCTTCCAACTCGTAATCAATCAAAAACCATAAATCAGATGAAGTTTGGTTTAAATTTAAAGGGGGATTCCACCAAAATCTCCACTTCACTCTTTGACTCTATTCCCTTGTTTTCGGGATAATTTAGTGTTTGTTAGTTAACACTGGTGGAGCCTGGAGAGTGAATGTTGTGGATTATTGTGTGTTACATCGCAAAACCAGATCAGTGGTTCATGATGTAATACACCAGCGATGTGGTGAGAAACTATTCCTTAAGTAGCGAGGTCACATGACACAGCCTTTGAAGTCAGCTGTGTTTGAATAAATGGAGCAGCGCTCTTAAAGCTGGAGTTGGTTGGTTTTTAGACCTGCCATCGTTTGAGTTGAGTTGGGTTACGATTCCAAAATTGTGTGATAATAGAGAAAATTCAGTTGAGTAAAATGTCCGTTGTGACATGTATATTTCACCTTTCCTCTAGCGCCATTTCTAAATGTACAAAATGGATTGGCACAGACATTCATGGTCCCCAGAGGATGAATCCTAATCGCTTTGGTTTCCCTGACTTTACATCCTGTTACATGACGACTGGTGGAAAGTTTGCTGTGAAAGTTGATCTCCGTCGTGAAGTTTGGGTGACTTTTCCCGTGGCTCCATCGTTAGATCTAAATTTCAAAATCGTTCAGTGATTTGATTTATTTCTGTAGCAGTTTGGTTTTCTTTATTTTCTCTTCGTCTGCATGATGGAAAACGGTGCTGCCTTAAACAAATGTTGTGCTGATGGGCGTGTGTAGCTGCAGTGCAGATACAGGTCAGGATTGAACCCTTCCCTGATGCCAAAAAAAACCCCCCTGAACAGCAGTTTTTTGTTTTTTTTTACAAAGTGGAGTTTTGCAACTGATTTATTACAAATAGTTTTATCTTCCATTTCGATGATCCCAAGGTCTTATGAAGTAATCTACCAGGAACGTGTGTTTGCTTCTTTGTCTTATGAAATACAGTTCATTCTGTTGCCAGATGATGTTGCATAATGTCACCCAAAAGAAAAAAAAAAAAAAAGTTGATCCAAATTCAACTTGTTTTTTTTTTTTTTTGCAGAGCGACTGATATGCATTGGCCTTGCCAGAGTCTTCTGCATTGGGGCCCTTGTTGTGCAAATGGAGCTGTCTTAATGAAACACAGAGGAGGCTGCGTTTTCTTTGATGTATTACCATCGTTTGTCAGAGCATGATCGTATTTGACTTCAAAATTAATGTACAAAACTGACCCGTTCTTCTCTCATTATCCCAGATTTGAATCAAGAACTGGTATCAGCTACAAAGCCCTTACTATGTTACACCCATGTGCTTTCTTTTTTTTCCTTACAATTTGACGTGCTGTATTAAAGGAAAAAAAAAAAGAAGAAAGAAAGAAAACGGTAATCAAAAATTCAAAATGTCAAACAGTCCCTTTACGGAAAATGGCCTTTCTAATGGCTGATAAAGACAGACATCCTATTTGGTTTTAATGTCAGCTCCTCTCTCCGTCTCTGTTTGTCTCTCTCTCTCTCTCATGCAACACCAGTGGGTCAGGACCTAAAATGGGTCACAGGCCTATGTTTAATAGATCCCCATACGACCACAGTAGTGATATGCTTTCAGCCCAGGTCCCATGATGAGAGGCTAAATGTTTCATTTGGGTCCCAGGCTGAAAAGGTTTAAGAGCCCTGGTCCTAAATGATAGCTAGACCTCGAGCTCCGCGGCGGACTGTAAGGGGACAGCGAGTCCTTGGCCTTCACTCTGAGTCTCACCCTGGCACAGTGACGGGGTCTGTCCACAGCTGATAAGTGGGTTTTAATGTGATCTCCTCTCTCTTCTTTTCTGTTCCCTCTCTCCTCTCTAATTTCCTCTCCCTCCATTTTCCTCTCTGCACCCCTACATCTCTTATTCCTGTTTTCCCTCTACCTCCTCCCACCCTTACTCATTCTTTTACCCCCATTTCCCCCGTAACTTCTGCCTCAGATGATGGCTTGGCTCCAGCTGTGGACCACGGGGCTCATGGCCTTCTCCGTCTCTCTCGTCGTTGCTGAAGACTCTGGCCTTCCTGCGGTGGAAGCGGAGAAACGAGGCCCTGTTGAGATTGTGAAGAAGGAGTCCCATCCTGTCCTGCTCAGGCAGAAGAGAGACTGGATCTGGAACTCTCTCTATGTGGAAGAAGAAAAACCTGCTCCCATACCCTACAAGATAGGACAAGTAAGTTAACATCAACATTTTGACCTCACTGTGGGATCCTCTTTAGGATTCTGGTCCACTTCCTGGGTCCAGCTTCTACAGTGTAGTCTTAAAGCGTTTGATAATCTCCTTCCCATGGCTGTCTGAGGGAAAGGCAAAAGGGTATTTCTGTCACTTCCATTCAGTTTGATGCTGTGGCATGCCGAGAATCTGGGGCATTGACTTGTTGCTAACCAACTCTTTAATGAATATCTGAGTGATTTTTACCAGAATACTCAGTTTATTTGTAGAAATTTCGCTGTAAGTCTGATGATAAATTCAGTCCTCACTCCAGACAGTCATCTCTTATTTCAATTTTTTTTTTTTCCTTTCGCAGCTGAAGTCGAACAAGGCGGTGGGGGTGAAAAAGTTTACAATAGAAGGTGAAGGAGCGAACTCCATCTTCACAGTGGATGAAAAGGGAGACCTGTTTGTCACCAGGTCTCTGGACAGAGAACACAAGAATTTGTACAACCTGACTGCCAGAATGTATGATGGGAACAACAAGCTGATAGAGGATTCTGGGCACTTTGTCGTCCAGGTGACGGATATCAATGACAACAGCCCTGTTTTCCCCAGAACATACAATGGATCCATTTCAGAGAGGTCGTCAATAGGTGAGTAAAATAACTGATTAGAAAAATAATCAGCAGTTGTTCATCAATGTATTCCAACCAGCTCAGGCTCTGTGAGAAGACTAGGAAAAAAAGAAAGATAATAAATGAAGCAAATCCTTGCACAACAAAGTTTCTGTTTGACATTTACTATCCTGTGAGAATTCAGATTAAAAATATGCTAGACTGTGAAAAGTCATGGAAAAAATGAGACATGATGTTGACACGTGTCACAATCATTAGCACATTTTTCTGTGGAAAAAAAGGCTTGTTGTGACTTAAATAACACAATCTTAGCACATAATCATAATGTATCAATCAGCCAAACAGCAATCAACCTCTTGAACATGTTTGCAAAACACTGTATGCTGCAGTGTGATGTGTTATTGGCGATGCTAATCATTTTCTACATTTATCTTCCTCCGTTTATCTAGGAACTCAAGTAGTGGAGGTGAAGGCGACTGATGCTGATGACCCCACCACTGCTAATGGAGACCTCAAGTATTCTTTGACCCCGGACGGAGACCTTACTGCCTTTGAAATTGAGAGAAACACAGGTGGGTTCAGCGTGATCACATATCCTGCAGCGACATTGTCTTCATTTCTCTTCCTTAACGTGTCAATTTGGGGGAGCTGTAGATGTAAAGGCTATTTTTACTTGAATATGAGTCAGAGTTGACCTCAGAGGTAACACCCTGTCTGCCTGCCTCTCTCTCTCTCTCTCTCTCTCTCTCTCTCTCTCTCTGTCTCTCTCTCTCTCTGTCTCTGCAGGTATAATCAGCTGCAAGATAAACACTCTGGACCGGGAGACTAAGAGTCAGTATGTGGTGGTGGTTAAAGCTCAGGACATGAGAGGAATGGCCTCTGGCAGCACGGCCACCACCTCTGTCACCATCACCATCACAGACATCAATGACAACAAAGCTTCTTTCACTCGAAGTAAGGAACAGGAAAATCTGAAACACGCTTATTAAAAAAAAAAAAACACGATATTATTTTTGAAAGCACAGTTAATTCCACAATATGAACAGAATTAGTGTAACTGTCTCATACGCACAGCATTAAACCTGATGTGTAATTTCCCTCTGCAGAGATTTATGAACTGCAGGTTCCAGAAGACCACAAGGTGAATGAGAAGATCGGCACTCTGGAGTTGGAGGACAGAGATCAGATCCATAACAAAGAGCCCATCTTCATCATCCCCAAAGAAAACAACAAGATGTTCAGTGCTGAGCTCAGCCCTAACAAAGATGGCAACCTCATGCTCAGACATGTAGGTGGTTCATGTGGAGAATGAATAGCTGATATCTCAAGGCTAAAATGTTTTTAAAGTCTTTTTTGCAGTTTGCTTTTGGTAAGAACATGGAGATACTGATTCATTTGGATTTGATTTTTCTTTTTTGTTACCTTTAGTGAATTTGCTGCCATATTAGCTGTCTGCATTTCTTGATGCTGAGTTGAGCAGTGGTCCCCAACCTTTTCTATCCAACATGCTCGGACAGCCGTCTCAGATGTGCTCAGGTTCCTCTTCGTTTCACCTCATTGAAAAATGAGAGTCATGGCATTATTGCGTTCACCACGGAGAAAGAAGAAGTGAACATGAATTCATACGAGACATAGTTATCCTTGTTTTTATTTAGGCTTCGTGTCTTTTAACCATTTATCAATTACGTTAAGCTTTCTGTTAGCTTATGGCTAACTAGTTTTCACATGCGCTCAGTCACAACACTTGCTGTGGAGGTGTTCCAGCTATAATGGTTGGTAGGTTTTTGAGACATTAAATATACTCTAGATCGGCATAACACATGTTCTATTTATTTATATTTTAATTAGCTGAATTACTGTCTTCTGGCTATTGAAGAATTACCTCCTGAGGTACATGTGGGTCTCCCACAACCAGCACATGGATAGTTCATTTTTATAGCTAATGCAACATTAACTGAAGGTGGTTTAGGTAGTTTTTGATATTCACACTTTCATGTTGCAGCCCCCAAACTGATGGAAAGCTCACGTGCAATCATTACAATAAGCTAACATTATAAATATCCAAGAGTGAAGAGCATCGGGATTATAGCTAAATGTCAATTCTAATGTACTGACATTTTCAAAGGTGTTTTTTCTTGGATGTGGCTCTTTACACATTCTGCTGCTGGATGGCTTCCAGTTACATCAGAAAATGAAAATTTGTGGAGTCAAATGTGAGATTTTTCTTGCAGGATGACAGTTATGTATTTTTACCAAATTCAAACCCAAAAGCTTTGGCCTCCTGGTTAGCAAAGATATTCATACTTGCAGCGATGTTAGCAGGTTTACTTGACTGGTTTGGGCTCTTCAGATAAAGTATTTAGGACATCAGAGAGCTGGAAATGTATTCCTAATGAAATGAGCTCTGTAATAACTTGTACCCACGCTGGACTGGAATTGAATCGCACCACAATCTTCTCTCTCTGCTCAACTCGCCCCTCAGCTCTGCAGCCCCTCTCATCTTTCTCACCGGCTGTGTTTACATGTACAGAGTAAGCCGGCTATCGGCCACACTACGGTTAAGGTCTTATTCTTGTTAAGCTGTTTACACATGCCTTTGATACCCTGTGTCTGAGTATCCGTGTTGCCATGAATAATCCAGTTAACAGAATATTCCTGTCTACCTGTGGTTTCCCATTCACAGATAAAACAGTCCGCCAGAAAAAAAAAAAAACATTTAACTGAACAGTGGGCTATTTCTAATACAGGGGAAAGAAATGATAATCCCAGCAGAAATGTGACAGTAAGCACTGCTTGCTGTCACATATTCGTTGACATGAAAGTGTATCCGTACCACTACGCAAGTCTCAATTTGTGCAGATGTTGAAGAAGTGAAAGGAATGAGGTATTTTCATGCTACGGTATCATATTTAACATGGAAGGGAAAAAGCCGGCGTTTTACAGTATCTCTTAAATCCAGAGTACGAGTTTCACCAGGTTGTTGTAGCTGGGTTGTGACACTTAGAGCCTTTTTACACCTGGCATCAACAGCTGTCCTGAGTGAACACACGCAGGTGTAAATGCACCGAGGAGGATGATAGAGATGAATTAGAGCACATAGAAAAATAAAGTGCAAATGCAATGTGTTCCTATTGCAAAAACAGGAGGGTTATATGTGGATAAATACAGTCTTGAGCTTCAGTCTAAATAGGGAAAATATTAGTTTGTATCTGTGGAGGAGAAGAAGTGGCATCAAGACTATTACATTAACTAAAGTCATAGTAAGACATTAAAAACATTTTGTTAATGAGGGAAGGTGATGTTGTGTGAGTGTGCTGCAGAGAAGTTCAGGATTTCAGTGTGTACTTCAGAAGCATTTTAAATAAGTGGTATAAATATAGCCTTGCTGCATCTGATGTAGACAGCATAAATATGAGGTGCATGTTAATGAGAGGTAGAAATTAGCCTTGCAGGTCACTTGTGTAATCAAGTTCAAGGCTCTTTTAGAAACTATGAAATATCTTTGAAATCCAGTGTTTGAAATATTGTAACTTACAACTGAACACACTGATTTGTTGACAGCCTTCATAATAATGAAACAACACTCATTGTGCATAGTTTGAAGGAGACCTGTCGTCTTCTGTCTTAGTTGTTCTTAAACCTCTTTTTGCTCAACTCCCTTTATGCGTCCTTGCAGGTTGCCACAAAACTGAACAAATATATTTGTGCATGTAAATATAGCGCAAGTGCAAGATTGAGAAGAGCTCATGATTGGTTGTTTATGATCAATTTAAAATCAAATTCTGGTGTAATCAGTGTTGATTTATGACTTGCTGTGGACTGAATTACCATTCACCTCTTTCCCCAGGCTCTGGATTACGAGACCACGAGCAGCTACAGTTTCATCATTCAAGTGAAAGAAAACCTGATACTTCCTGCTGACAACACGAAAAGTGCTGTCACCACAGCCGAGGTATATCTCATACAGGACATCAGTAGTCTTTAAGCCTTCCTCCGGGGACGTTATCACCCGGCTTTTCATTAACTTTCTATTAAAGAATGGGAAAGACAGGGGAGGTGCTGTATCACAGGCTCATGCAAAATCACTGTGAATTCAGCTGGTTTTGAGGGCAGAGGTTTGCAGCCTGCATTGCAGCTTTAGTGGACAGGAAATACTGTTACTCGTAAGATTTATGAGTCATAAATAAGGTCACTTCCAAATTTACATATTACAGAGGTGAAGTTGACTCAGAAGTAGCTGATTAAATGTAATTTTCTCTCTGTAAATACTGTATAGTCTTAAGAACCCCTGAAGAGCCTGTGAGCCCAGAAAAAAAAAACACAGGAGTTCAGTCCAACCACTGTAGTCCATTTAAATCTTTAATGTTGTGCAAATGTGCAGAAATTACAAGTCAGAACTGTCTTTCAGCTGCTATGAATGATTTAAATTGACAGGTAAAGATCAAAGTGTTGGATGTGGACGAGCCACCAGTCTTCTCCCAGCCCATCTACACCTTCAATGTGGTGGAAGAACGGCTCGTGAACAACATAGGAACAGTTACAGCCCGGGATCCTGACAGAGCCAGCAAGAGCATACGGTACAGCGCTGTGCAAACTCCCCAAAAATAACTAATATTGTTTGTGATTCTGCACAGTGGATTACACTGATCCCTCGCTCTCTTTCGGTTTAGGTACTCCATCCCAGACAAAGACTGTCCAATCAGCATCAACCAGGTGACAGGTCAGCTGTCCACCCTGAGGATACTGGACAGAGAGCTGGAGGCCACACACATGTTTCAAGTTAAGGCACAGGAGGAGCCAAGTGGTACGTCATACACACACGCACACACGCGCGCGCACACACACACACACACACACACACACACACACACACACAAATTGCACGGGTTTATTAATCCTGTTTCCTTTTAAACAATAGATGCTCAGAAGAAAAATGAGAACCATGTGTTTCCTCTAACAACGGTAATGTGCATACAGGGAGGCAGTTAAAGAAGCCAAAAAAGACGATGTGTTCTCTTGTTATTCACTGAACAAGCTTCTCTGAATTTATTGAGGGATGCAAATGTAACACATTAACAGGGATTTTTATAGATTTAACACATTGCCAAAAACACCTGGTCGACCCACACGGGAAGGAGAGAGTAAGCAGGAAAATCACATTAGTGGGTCTCTTTGTTCACTCACAGCTTCCAAACCAAACTCTGTATTTTTAGACCTGCAGTGAATGAAATCCAAAGATCTATTTTAGTGGCTTGTCATGATGTTTAAGGAACACAATGGTCCCCTGAGCTTGACAAGGTCCTCGATATACAGTACATGTACTGTACTAAAGATAGTTTCAAAATCTCAGTAGAAGAGACGGGAAACAGACCCACACGTTTATCAAAAGATGAATATTCTAAAAGAACACCAGTGATGCAAAATAAATGTAAAAGCTGCTTTAATGTGACAAAAGAAACTGGCCAACAAACAGCTCACAAATAGAAATGCTTTCAGTCAGTTGACCTTAATCAGTCCCATCAATGCACAGAGACACACACCTGATCATTATCTTGGCTAATCGCTGCCAGATCTGACCATTAAGGTGGAGGACAAACAAGACAAAAGTGGAAATAAATAAATAATTAAGCAGAAAAAACTTTTAAAAAAAAAAACTAAAAATTTGGAGACAAAGTCAAAATGTAGATGAATTCTTTTTAAGGTAGTAACTGATTTTCCAAATGAGCTCCTCTGCAGGATTTATCAGGTTCTCAATAAATAATGCACAGTGGGAAAACTGAACAGCCGCTGTAAGAAAACGATGAGGAACAGACGATGATTTGAAGAATCATTTCCTGTCCTGGTGGTACACCTGTCTCCTACCGTGTCCGCTTTAACAGGATGGATTTGTTTTGCTTTTATACCGAAGACCACAAATCCATAAAAATAAGATTACATTACATCTTCAGAGTTACATATAAGGATTTATTTTGTCCTCCAGCGTTAGTGTCTGCTCTGTAGAATTCCTGCAGGCTGCTCATTGAAACATCTTGTGCATTTCTATTGACTGTTTCCATTGTCATCCGACTCAGCGCTGCAGTACAAATTCACAAAATTAGCCCCAGTGCTCCGCAGTTAATCATGTGCTGTTGTCTCTTCTCGGCAGGTTTGGAGTCATTTGTAAAAGTTAATATTGTAGTTCAGGACATTAACGACAACAAGCCTGAACTGGTTGTGGACGAGATCTTCGTCTGTGAGAACGACGTCACTGAAACGGTAAGAAAAACCTGTTTCTAGTAGTTTATCTCTTGATTTATGTAGGTTTGTATTCAACTCGGCTGATGTTCAAAAAGATTTGTGGCTTTACTTCAACCTCTGTATCAGCCCTTCCCTCATAGTGGATATTTACAGATAGACACCTAATAATAAACTGGGTTTAAACAGTTTGAATACCTGATACCTGATTTATTTGCAATTGTTGTGTTGTTCAAAAACAGGATCCCCACTAACATCTGTGCCACAAACTGAACACCACACTGGCAGCAAAAATACATGCACACTACAAAGTATTCAGTTTGGTCTCATGAAAAACACCACAATTTCCTAAGTAAATGATAAATGGACCTCATTTATTGTACTGTATACAGTGCCTTTATCCCAAGAGCGATGCAAAGTGCTCATATACACACACTTTCATGCAAGGTCAACCTTCCCTGCAAAGTGTTGGTGTTTTTCTCCTATATTTACAGCAGGGAGGAGGTGCAGCTAGAATATGTGGAAGTTAAATGTGTGAGGAACAGATTTATCTTATTTTGCACGTATCCTGGTTAAATTTCAGGTGCATTCGAATTAGTGAGGAAAAGATTGAATGTCTAAACACAACCATAACCAGTGTTTTGGAAGATGAGGAAATGTAATTTACATGTCAACAGTATGTGTCTTAAGAGTGCTCATCTCACAAACCATAGATATGCTGTGTACATTTAAACTGCATTTGCTGTAAATTAAATTTGAGGATGGATTTATTAAATTACATTTTTCTGTCTGTCCTCAGGTGATAGGAACTTTGCGAGCCGCAGACAAAGACGACCAGCCGGCCTCCTTCAGTTTCAGCCTGGGCAGCGAGAGCTCCAACTTCTCCATCAAAGATTACGGCAGTAAGTCTTTTTTTTGTGCACCGAGCATATATTTACCTTTCCTTTCTTGCTTGTTGCTCTAAATGGTGCTCGAAGGCAAAGCACTGGCCTCGGCACTTGTTGCTATGCAACAACTGAAACTCCATTTGAAGCACAGTGCTTTGTTGCTGAAATTTGAAATTATTTTAACTTCTCAAAGCTTTGGTTCTCCCGGCCAGACAGGGGATTTAGAGACCCTGTCTGGGACCATAAGTGCTGTCTAGAATGCACAACGGCAAATATTGAAAGTAATGAGAGCAAGTGGCTCGGTGGACTTGCAGATGACTCTCTATGTATTCTGAACTCATCCCAGCTGAGGGTGTTAAAAAAACATGTCACACACAGCGCTGGTGGGGTGCTTTTCACAATAAAATCATGGAAAATGTGTCCATAGAAAACTGCGCCAAGAGGAATGTAGGGATATGCATGAGAGTACTCACTCAGTAAATTAGCTTTTGATTAAGTGTGTAGTCCAAAGATGAGGCTGCAGCTTACAATTTAAACGCTTTATTGATCAAGCATGAAACAGACTTTGACGGGCAGTGTACTGTTCTGACTGGAATTTCGCCAAACTCATTTAAATATAAGACAAAGTTAAATGTTTTAAATGAGTCGGGTTAATTCCTCTATATGAACATTGTGTGTGTTTATACATCTCTAAATTCTTCAGCTCGCAGCTCTGTGCTTTGATGTAAATACTAACCAACGTGCTCAGAATGATAATGCTAACATGCTGAAGTTTAGCTGTGTTCATCTTAGTTTAGCCTTTTAGCATGCTAATGTTGAATGCTAACATCTGATGGGAATTTCATTAGTTTTGCAAGTATTTGAACTAAAGTACTGAGTAGATTAAAGATTTGACCTTCTAATGGTGCTAGATGAAAAGTTAAGGGATCACCAAAGGGTAAAGGAGTGTTTTTACCTTGTTTTTTGTTTGTTTTTTGTGATTATTTTTTATTTTATTTGATAGTGATGTTGCAGTTTAACATACTTCCAATACAGATCATGAAACTGATGCGCTGCACTGAGAGTTTATTGCTAATTGCTTGACCCTAGTTGGACTTTTACTTACACAATATAATTAGAATATACAGCTTTCAGTTTCATAAAACACAATACACTAAAAATGTAGAAATACAATGACAGACAAACAAACTGACTAACTAACAAACAAACAAACAGTAATTTAGATTACAATTAGTTTATTGTGGAGTTGTAGTTTACGGTTTTATTTTTATATATATTTTCAATCTATTTAATAGTTTTTGGAACATTTCTCTTAAAAAACACCAAGTGTGGGCCTCATGGTGGAGCTAAACGAAAAGTCCGGAGGTCACAACCGATCCAAAACCGTTCAGATTCATCCTCTGGTCGCCGTGAAAATCTCTGCCAAATTTAATGACAATCCACCAAGTGATAGATATTTCATCCTTGACCAAATCCGTGACAAGCTGCTGCTACAAACATGCTGAGGGATCTTCTGATACGCCACCTGATGTACTTGTTACACTTGTATTCTTCGCCACAGTGTCTGGCTGGTGCTAGTTCCATCATACCCAACATGAAAGGAGATCTTTCTGCTACCAAAAGATTATCCTAAATTCAAAGCAGCATCTACGCTGGCAGATCTGGACTGAAAACGTGTGGATATAAATGTACAAGTTGAGAAATGTCAGCTCGGATAAACAGACTGTGACACAGATGACGGTGTGAAACTCTACAGAGACATTTTCTTTGATCCAGACATTGATATTTAGGCAAAGGTTGGTGCTCTGTTACGTCAGATTTCCAAAGCTTATTTGGGTTATTCAGCTTAGGACACAAAATGGCACAAGTAAAACAGTTTTTCATCATTTTTGATCATCACATACACTTATAATACATGAAAGCCTGAGGAAAAGTGTTACCAACTGTTCTAGTCAAATATTAAAAGTCTGAATAGATGAAAGCCTTAGGTAGTCAGATGAAAGATTTAGGTGAAGTGTTACTGTTTAATTTAAGTGAAATTTGAAACATATTGAAGGGAAGATAAACAGAGGGGGGAAAAGAGCAGGAATCTGCCTCATCCATTTCCTCTCTGCTCCTGCCTGGAGGGGTTGACATGTTGAGCCGATGGAGAAAAGGAATAGGAAGATGGAGGAGAGCAAAAGGAAAGACAGATGAGGCAGAGGTGGAAGAAAAGATGAAAGGAGGCAAGAGGAAGAGATCTCGATTAAGGGAGACGGGTAATATTAAAGTGGGACTGTGTTAAAATGAGGACAGGGAGCAAACGTAAAGGAGAGAGGATAATAAGGAGGGATAAACAAGAGAAGAAAAAGAGAGATAGGAAAGGAGAAGAAAAAATAAGAATGAATGAAGACGTAAGGAGGAAGAAAAGGTAAGAAAATAAAGAGAGAAAATTAACAGGAATAGGTGAAATAACCATAGAAGGTGAGAAAACAGGAGAAAAGATGAGAGAAAAAAGGGGAGAGGAGAGAAAAGGCTAAAATGAGAAGTGAGAAAAGAGAAGGACAAGGAATGAAATAAGAAAACGAGGACAAAGGAGGAGATGAGGACAGAAATGAACATGAAGAGGAAATGGAAGAGTAGGGAAAAAAAGAGTGAGAGGAAAAGGGGGAAGAGAGAAGAAGAAAGAGACAAAAAGAGAAAAGATGACAAGACCGGAGATGACAGAGGAAAAGAGGGGAGAAAAAGAACAGAAGGAAAAGGGATGCAAGAGGAAATAAGGACAGTGGTTGTCCAAAGAGAGGGAGAGAGGAGGAGGACATGATAACAGAGGAAAAGATGACATCAAATGTTTGAATGAAGGGTTAAAAAGAAAGGGGGGAGAAGAGGAAAATAGGAGGAAGATAGGAGATGAGAAGAGGGGTGAGAAGTAGGGAGGGTGAGGGGAAGAAAATAGGAGGAGAGGTGAGGAGGAGGAAGGAGAGGGGAGGAAGGAGAGGGGAGGGGAGGAAGGAGAGGAGAGTAGAGGAGACGAAGGAGAGAAGAGGAGAGGAGGTGGATAGTTGTTTGATAAGTGCTGGTTGTCAGTGTAAACCTCTGTTCTCCCCTGTGCCTCCAAAAAACTCATCTGACAGCACCTCACACCACTTACCTCAAACACTGCACACACACATGCACACGCACGCACACACACACACACACACACACACACACACATATATACTCTCATGCAACAAGAGCTGCAAAGTGAAGACTCCTAAAATATTTATCAACTACCAGCTCTTTAAAACTTGCAAAAAACAACCATGCTTTCATTATGGGGTCCAGAAACACACACACACACGCACGCACACACACACGCACACACGTACGCACACACGCACGCACACGCACACTCCAGCAGTCAGTGTAGCTTTCACAGTGAAGTGACAGGACTTGTGTCTTGGTGTTGGTGTTCAGACCAGGCGGCCACATGAAGCTCGCTGCATTAATACCAGACAGACAAGAGAGAGGAGGAGGAGGAGGAGGAGGAGGAGGAGGAGGAGGAGGAGGAAGGAAAACAAGGAGATGAAGAGAGAAAGGGGCTAATGAGAAGTGGGAGGAGAGAAACGGAGAGAACAAAAGAAATACAGAAAGGACAGTGAGACAAACGCAGGAATCCAGAGAGACGGGAACAAGATGAATTCAAACCAAGAAGGAGCAGGAGATGAGACAAAGAGCAGGGGAGAGATGAAGAGGGACAGAAGCTGTTTTCATCTTTTATTCAGTTAGTTAAGGCTTCATCTGTACCCATGTCCTCCCACTCACACGCCTTCAGTGACTACATGTTGTCTTGTAGACAATACTGAGAAACCTGGATCTGCGGAAGTGGTCGTATGAGTCTCATTTGGGTGTCAGACACGTTGACCTTTCATTAAAAGGTCAGTTGAAAATACCTCCAGTATCTCACCGGGCAAATAGTTTGTCCGTGGGATTTGAGATATCTTGTCTGCGAGATGTGTGAACTTTTTGTCCTGAGCGCAAACAAGCTAATGAGCGAGCAAAGTGAGAACAAACTGTGACCTGTTTGGACAAGAAATATTTCCTCATGAGAAAGTTGTTTCAGTGACTTTTCTCTTTAATGAGGACAGGTCTGGTAGAGGAGGAACAAAGGAAGATAACTGCACAACCCGTCATATGCAAAGCTTGTCCAGTAAAGTGGAAGAACACAGAGACAGGAAATTCAGGTGTGAAATTGCAGCTGAAATAAAGTTGCGTCTTTTATTCAGGTCACAACAAAGCTGCATTTTCAGTTGGTACGTCGCTGCTACCACTAATGATCATGGCGAGACGTCCGAATGAGTCAGAGTTCATTTTGAAGGATGTGAAACAAGTCTCAGGATGGATAAAACTGTTGAGCCAAGTGCTCTGGGTCTCCTTTCATAAAAAACCCATCCAATATGTGCAAAATGTAAAAAAAAAAAAAAGAAAAAAAAAAAGCACATCCAGGTTTTCTTTTTATTTAAACTTGTCCCTAAACCAGAGCTGCATGTATAGAGTGTGTTTCTTTGTCTGAGAGTTTCACAGTATGTCTTAGTGTTCAGAGGGGTCTTTCCTGCCATTGTGTTCTCCAAACTTCCTCCAGCGGTGGGATATTGTCCCATCGTCTCAGCAGGAAACTTCTGCCCGATGACGATTTGACTAATGACTGCATTGTTGGCCGGGTCTGCAGATGGAGACGTCGCTCTGTTCCGCTCAACATGTTTCAGTCCTCTTTCTTGTTTTTGATCCACTGTTGCAGGTTTTTAAGGTGCTGCCACAATCTATAATCCTAAATGACTCAAATCCTAAACGCACCAAGCTGACAGATAATCACAAATTATCTGTCAGCTTTTATGTAACGACTCTTCTTCCTGCCGTCGAACCTCATATCTTGTTTGATCTGCGGAGCGCGACGCTGTAAAAATAGACTCAGTAGACTCTATAGACGGAGCAGGTGAACATTAGATACACTTCAGTGAAACAAGGTGATGAGTCAGACAAATTAGACATGGATTTTTGCAGGAAGGAGATGCACATTTGTTTTTGTAAAGGTGGTTGCGATATTTTGTACATTCACCGTGGGTACTTATACGCTTCCTTGTGCAGACAACTCAGCAGACATCATGGTGAAACAAGGCCCGTTCAGCCTGGATGACCCCAAGGATTACAAGGTGGATGTGCGCATCAGTGACGGAGGACGGCCCATCCAGACCAGCATTACCACACTGGCAATCAAGGTGTGTGTGTGTGTGTGTGTGTGTGTGTGTGTGTGTGTGTGTGTGTGTGTGTGTGTGTGTTGAAACGATTTCACAAATTCACTTTAAATCGTTTTATTTGATCGAATTCACCAGTTTTTGTCCAGTGAAAGTCAGAGTATCTAATCACACGCAGGGATTTAGCTTGTACTGTGGTTTAGATGGACAAACCGTAAATGAAAGCTGCTTGATTAATCAGTTAATTTCCCGATGTAGTCGTGTCGCTGTGACGCCAGGCGGATTCCTACGCAGTGCAAAGCCAGTGCTCGGAGGATGTCAGTGAGTGTCCACGCCCTGATCGCCATTCTGCTCTGCATCCTGACCATACTGGGTAGGTTCAAGTTCAGATTTATCTTTTCTTCCTTTTCTTGATTTCCTCTTTCCTCTGTCCTTCTTTTATAGTCTCCATTTTGGTGGAAACTTCTCCGACATCACCTGCAGTGTTTTCTTCAGGGTGGAGATCATCTTATGTTCTTGCTCTTCCTATATACCTTCATACATCAGAGTGTTTACAGGTGTTTGAGAGCATCAGTGCACATGTGAAAAAAGTTGCAAAAAGCCTTTTTGCGGCTCCAGAGGGAGGAAAGTCTGATGCTTCGTCCTAAAGCGGTGTCACTTAAGTCAGCGTCATTTGGGGCTGAAGACATGTTTGAAAAGACCTCTGTAGCTCCAGAGGCTCAAGGCTACAGCAGCTGCTGCTAGCATAACACATTTGAATCGAATCTGAGACTCGCTACGGGGTCACCTCAATTTTGGTTGTTTCTAAACAGCAAAACGTTAAATAACTAACATAAACATGATGAATGATTCTGTGGAATACGATTTTCATCCATTAACGTTTACCTGTCGTTCAGCTGATTATTATTTTTTGTAGTCGGAAGTAAACAAATCTGAATCTCAAACAAACAAATTTATTCCAAACATGGGGAAATATGAAATGTTTTACTTCCTGTTTGGCTCAGGGTTTGTTAAGGGTTTATCAAACACTAATATGTGGGCATTTGTGTAAGACATGTAAGAGAAAATGTCGATTGCTGATGAACTGAATTTTACATGTTTGTCTCACAATCTGCTAACAAACAGGTGCAAAAGCCTTTTTTTTTTTTTAAGTCCTCAGCGTTTTTATTCTCTGAGAAAATTCATGAAGACGGCATCAATGATAGATGTAAAAAAGCCAGCTCTGAGTGATTAAGGCATGAGCACAGATTCACTTGCCCTTGCTTTGCGATAAATAAGATCTGTGTTTTGTGGGGAACTTTTCCCCTCCTGGTGTTGTTGGTTTTATGAATAATGCAGTGGCGGATGTGGAAATAATGCCTGCAGTTGTGAGCTCAATATTCTCTTTGATACCTTCGCTCCCTGCTCCTTTTTTTTTTTTTCTGGGGGAAAAAGAGACACTTGTCATGTTGGATGAGTGGCACGCTGGAGATAGTTGGCTAAACAAGAGGGATCTGGGATGAGAAGTGCTGAGGAAGAAAGGGGAAAGAGAAGAAGAAGAAGAAGTTGAAGATAAAGAAGGACGGAGGCGGAGTGACAGATGGAAAAAAAAAAACTTATATCTAGACTTAGATATGGGAGGTGGAGAGGGGTGAGAAAGGCAGAGAGACGAGAGGCGAGTGAGACAGAGAGCTGAGGTGGAACGAGACCAAGTGAGAGACGGAGCGAGACAGAAAGAGGTCGAAGAGGAGAATTGTGGGAAAAGCAGCAGAAGAATAGGAGTGGTAATGAGGAGAGTTTATCAGCTCTTTAGGTGCCGTCTGCTTATCAAACACCACCAAACACTCAACCTATTAACTATTAATACACTCCTTCACTATCGCGCCTTTTCCCCTCAGTTTTTTTTTTCCTTCATCTCTCGCTTCCTCTTTCTCTTTCCCTCTGGGTCTCTGTCTCTCTCTCTCTCTCTCTACCTCCCTCTCTCCTCCTTTCTGTCTCTCTTTCTCTTTATCAAACACCCCCAACATAGGCCAGATTAACTATTTAATGCACTTGTCATTATCTGCCAGGGCCCAAAGCAATTTACCGTGCTTCCCATTCACAGGCGCATTTTCTCACAAGAAGTTGGGTTTGACACACCAAAAGACATTTTTCTCAGTCGTTTTTCTACAAAGAAAGGGGCTCTGTCTTTTTCTCTTTTTTTTTTCTCTCTTCTCTCGTTCCTCTAAGTCTGATATCTCCAGAGCTTATTAAACTGCAGAGCATGTGTTGTAAAAGATTAATCTGTTGGTTTCCCATGCAAACTTAAATTAGTCCCGCTCGCCCTCAACTAAAAGGCATGGCTAATGCTGCCCGTCCGCTGAGAGAGAAAGAGGTTCATATCGGGACTGAGGCTCGAGGCCTAATCTAATGTCAAATGTATCCTTCGTCTCCTCCTTCTCTCCTCATCTGTCTTCTTTTTTGACTTCCGCAGCCCTGATTTCGTTTTTTTTTTTTTTTCCACTTCCTTCTTCCCTCAGTCGTTTGCGCTCCTTATTTGTTTCTCCTTTCCCTTTATTCATCCTCTTCCTTTCTTTTCCTTGTCCTCATTCCTCCGCTCTCTCGCTGCAGGACATGAGTCAGAAAGACTTTAGTTTCTTTTACACCACTTCCTTATAAGCTGAGTTTGGACAAAATGAAGGTGTAAGTCTGTATTTTATCCCTCCTCTTTAGTTCTTTTCTGTCTTTTCCCAGTTTCACCATTCTCTTTCCAGTTAAGCTTGAGACACACATTACAGTTTCTGGCCCTGTTGCAGTTGATCAGTACAACTTAATCAGACCAATGTAGACCAAGTCATCACTGGTGCTGGCGGTCGGGGAGATGAAATCGCACACATTCAGGTGTTCAAGGGTTGCTATTCATCATTCCCATTAAACTCGTTGAACCTTTCATGTCACACTGGGGAAGAAAGTTTTGCAGTTTACAGTTAGTTGCACGTTTCTCTCCAACCACAGTCATTATTTTCCCTCAGCTTCGTTCGCTTTTCTGCACAAATCGTATCATAAATCAGTAAGACCTTAATGTCCATCTCTGTGTTGGTACGGTAACACGCAATATGATATAATAAAATATTACATGCCAGCCATGTGCTCTTCTCAAGCTTCTTCTTCCAGAGTTGACTGTTGGTAGGAAACGAGAGGCGAACAGCGCTCTCTGTCGACCTCCATCCACTCTGACCTTCTTCTTCTGTGAAATTTGTCTCTCTAACAATGTTGCGCCGCTTCCGTCTTTGTTCTTGACGCACACGAGTTGTAATTAACATAATTTGAACGCAAACAGATTGTAATGATTTTCTTTTTTTAAGATTCTTGCACATACAGTACATTCTTATCTTTATTCTCTGACTTCCTTTCCTCTGTTTCCTTTCTCCTCTTTCTCCCCTCCATTTTCTGTCTTACTCACTTGTTTATTTCTTCATCATCTACCAGCTCCAAACTTGCTTTCCTTTCCTTCCTTTCTCATCCCCCTCTCAGTCCGCCTTGTTTTCTCATTTCCCACCTCCCCCTCCTGTTTTTACTGACTCTCTCTTCCTGTTTCTTGTGCTCCCCTCTCTCTATCTGTCTCTGGCTGAGTAGATTCATTTAAGGTTTAGATGCTCGGGGCGAATGTTTCAGACACCTTAAACCATTCCCTCCTCATTCTCTCCCCTGTTCTTACTCTGTTTTCTAGTCTCTTGGTAGCGCTCCACTTTCCTCTCTTGTTTCCTGCCCCCGTCCTTATTCTGTTTTGCTTTGGCCTAATTTTCTCTCATGTTTTTAAATTCGTAGAACTGTTGGTCCAGCATGAAAGGTGGTATAATAATAGCTCTGTGTTTGTGTTCTTCGGCGGATGCCTTCAATTTCTATCAATTCGTTTTAGTTCCTTTAGCAGATGAGACATGCAACAGAGGGGATTTCACATTTTACATCTTTATATACGGCCTGAATGTGATGTCTTTTCCTAGAATGCTTCTTGACAACTTTAATCTTGCAAGGTCAGACCTCACATGGATATAACTTGAGGTCTGCACTGGCTGTCAATCACTGCCCATTAACAATGTCGTTTTTTAAAACCCATTTTGTTGTATTTCAACATTATATTACCGTGTTTCAAATACTGATGAACGTGTGAAAGCAAAACCTGAGAGTGAATCCATGGCAAATTAACTTTCCTGTGCTTTGCTTCTCAGTCATAGTGATCCTGTTTGTGATGAGGAAACGCTACCAGAAGGATTCTCTGGCCAGTATGAAGAACAGCGGGGAAATCCACGAGCAGCTGGTCACTTACGACGAGGAGGGAGGAGGAGAGATGGACACTAACGGGTATGTGGACGAAAACAAACACACTAACGCCCTTCTGCTTATTTTCTCTTTCGTAATAACTTGTAAAACTTGACAGTCTCTTTTTATTTATTATTTAGAGCACAGCTGTAAAACAACAAAAAAATAGATTAAAATCTGAGCTGTAAAAAACTGATAAACTAATCATTTCTTTCCCCTATTGTTGATTTTTCTTTGTATCAATGTCGTAAACTGTATTAACTCTCCCCATCTGCACTCTTTATCTTCTCTTCTGTAAATTTGCTGACCCAGTTTATCCGACTGCCATCATTAAAGTTTAATCTAATCTGAATCTAATCAATCTATATTTAAATAGTATCCAAACCATATGCAATCCTCTAAACTATCCATATTAACTGCACCATATGCTGTCAAAAGGATGCACTGATGACTTGGTTAAAATAGCAAACAACCTCAAATCACAGAAATGTTCAAGACAGACAGCAGAAAGTACATTGAATTTTTTATTATTGACATTCCTGTTCTCATACTATTAAACATATGCTTGATTTAGAACTTTTTGAATGATTTTCATGTTTTAGACAAATAAAATCTTCCTTTCTAGTTGTGAAATAGGATTAAAAATTATACTTTATAAACTTAGGTTTGTGGTTAATGTCCTTTTTCAAAATTCTGTTTGTTTTTGACCTCATTGATATTGGTTTAATTTTGAATAAGATCAACTCAGCTCATGATCACATCCTTCGATGAGGAGTTAACCAGCGTTCAGTTAATTAGTGTTCCTCTCTCTTTTAGCTACGATGTCTCAATCCTCACCTCTGCCTGCCACGACGGCTCCCTGCTTCGCCACCCAGACCGCCACCCCCACCCCTCTCTCTATGCCATGGTGCAGAAAGCCCCTCAACCCACTGCATGTAAGGGCGACATGGCTGCGATGATCGAGGTGAAGAAAGACGAGGCGGACCACGACAGAGACGGCTTCCCGTACGACACCCTCCACATCTATGGCTACGAGGGACCCGAGTCTTTAGCCGGAAGCCTCAGCTCTCTGGACAGTTCCTCCACCGCTTCGAACTTGGATTACGACTTCCTGAACGACTGGGGGCCGAGGTTCAGGACCCTGGCTGAGCTGTACGGAGTGGATGGACCCGACTACTACCATCAGTACTGATGGAGAGCGTCTGCTAAGAAGAATACATGATGCCAAAACACACACACACACACACACACACACACACACACACATATGTGTAAAACAGCCATAAAAATACATCCACACATTGCCAAAAGCACGCACTAAATACACACAGTCACACACACATTTTGTTCCTGGACGAGGAGCTTCGATCTAGCAGACAACCGTGTTCTCCAAAGACTTCTGTAGCTTCTGAAAACAGAATCAGGGCGCTCACGTCTCCAGTATAACATCAACTAACTTTTGTTATCAAGTGTAATTCAGTGAATCCGTTAAGTTTGCTGAGTCTCCTCAGTCTGTCAGTAAATAGAGCTTCATCAAACTCCAGGAAGCTCCATCACGTTGAATCAAGGTTTTTGGAGATCTCTCTCTCATTTGTCTTTTCTTTTCTGGTGACATGTTGCCCTTTGCCTCCAACGAGGAGACGCTGGAAAGATTGTTAACGTTACACCAAGACATGACGCCACAGGAGAAAGTGACTGAGTGATTCTCAAGGGGATTTATTGTTGGCGACAGCGAGAGTTTTGTCCCGTCACACCGTTGTGATGTTTGACATCACAGTCGTTATTGCATCATACCTGCAAAGATCTGAAAACCCAAACAGATGAAACTCCACTGCAGGCTTTAGCCAATCACAGTTCATTGTGGATAATTGATGGGTTAATCAGGTCACTGCTGGCCAGTGATGTTTTTAGTTTTTTCACATTTGATTTGTGTCTCAGCTCTCATATGCAGCGCCATTTTTGCATCCCCTCTTCTTACCCGAGACTTTCATTTATTTATTTCTATGGATTTATATTCATCTACATATACACCTACCAATTATTGCTATATCCCAGTATAGACACATACTAAATCTGGACATCTAAACATTGACACAATGCCTACATTAAAGACAACATTAATAGATATGCATAGTCTTGTATCCTGGCTACTATTGAAAGCTGTCATACTTTAGACTCTTCATCTGGATATGAGCTAATTTAAATGATTCTAACATTAATGGAAGTTTTCATTTTGTTTATTTCCGTCTTACTGGGGATGCAGAATGGTGCACGTCAAAGCAACTCACTGTTGATTTGAAATTTCTGCCATACTATTTTTCTGTTCTCCACATCCCTTTGTGTATTGACAGCCTGTCATCTCCTCAAGCCTCAAGCTTTGAAGAATTTTTTTTAAATATTTTACAAAAGGGCCACAAACACACGGCGAGAACAAGGTGCTCTTATTTTTGATCTGAGGTAGATGAGTTGATTTGTAAATATGATCGTCTGAGGGGTCCATTGTTTGAGGTGAAAAACTTTGAGCAGCCACAAGCGTTTTAACTGAAAATAGTTTGAAGTGTTTGATCACAGCGAGATGCCAGGCGTGTTTTCTTCATGTGAAATACTAAACAGGACCGTGTTTAAGGAAAGTTCAACTCTGAAAAACCCACACCTCTGGACATCACATCAGTCTGTGATGCCCACAGGGTTATTTTGTGATATACAGTATAGTTCCTGATCTGCAACATTTACTGACATGACGCCAGTTGTCAACAGAGTTAAAAAGTTCAGATAAAGCTCTTCAAAAGTTCCTAATATTTAGCATTGTTACACTTTTTTTCAAAGTGAAAAACTTAAAAAAAAAATTCCATTTCCCTTTTTGTGTTTTCTGAAACCGGCCGTCTGATATGAACAAGGAGTCATTTTCTAAATGAGTCACTTAGTCCATTTTCCCCAATTATCTTCTGCTCTGAGAAGAGGAAGAACAATGGAGCGACAACAGACAGAAGGGAAATGGCAGTGCTGCAGCTCAGACAGAATTACAGTGCGTTCCAGGTTTTTATTTGACAGAACCCATCATCACAGTTATTGTTGAGATGAAAGCCCAATTCTCAGAGGCCTACTACAACAAAAGTAATTCAGACAACTCAGGAAACGCCAAGTGGCAAAAGCAGCTAGTTGGGCAGCTGCGATGGCTCTGAGGTGGCTCGAATAGCTTTAACCTCTCATCCTTTTTGGCTACTGTCAGGTCATAAAGTCTCTGATACAAAATTTGACAATCTCTAGGTCATTATTAGCACATTTTAAGTCTGATTCTGAAACAAAATCAATGGAGTTGGGAGCCTTTTACAGACTTGGACCTATTTATAATCTGTAGTTTGTGCTATTTAACAATAAGGCAATCTTACAAAGGCTCTATGATGCATCATATTGGACGGATTTGTTGAAGGGTTTGCATTTCTAAATCAATATGGGAAGGTTATCTGTTTCAGTTGATATTAGGCTACAGTTTGTCTACCTTTTTTAGATTAGCATTGTTGAACAAGTTTCCTTCTAAAACAGGGAATTGTCATCAGTATATTGTCTGACTTTCCAAAACCCAATTTATATGGATATAAAACAGAAGAAAAGCAGCAAAATCTCACATTTAAGAAGCAGGAACCAGCAAAATGTTTGTAATTTTTGCTTGACCTTGATTCAGTGATGATAAATCACATATCAAAATAGTTGCCAATCATTTTTTTGTTGACTAATTGTTTCAACTCTATCCCTTACAGACATCATTTTCAGAAATCATTAAGGTTGTCGTTAGCAACCTTTGCTTGGTGTATCATGTGGAAGATCTATTTGCTCTTTAGTAGCTCTTTATGTCATCAGGAACAACCACTCCCAGGCACCGTTTGATCCCTCGCCCTCTGGGAGGACGGCGTCCAGCCAGGAACCATTTATCAATGACTCACTTACATTTAAACAATTAAAGACATTTGAGCTCATTGTATTAATGTGGGGTCTGTGGATAAATTATGGCTTCTGCTCTTACACAGAAAGCCATTTATAGAAGGGAAAAGGTCACTTCATTGTGAAAGTGACAACTTAAAAGTCAGTTTGCATGATTGTAAAATTAAGACACTCCAGTTTACGTAACGATATTTAAATGTATTCCAGTGTCGTATACAACTCTGCTGAAAACACAGTCACACAGCTACATGTCCTGAGGACAGTTCCTTTGTCCTTTTAAAATGTGATTTAATTTCAGCGAAGACAGTTTAGTTTATTTATTCTCCTGTTTATTCTGTTTTGTTTGGACTTGAACTTTTTTCTTTAAAACTCGTTTGGAATGCCATCTGATAAACGGTGGATACAATAGCTGGAAGCCCTCTCAATGCTTTCCTGTTGGGTTCACATATATACTCAGAGCAGCCTGTTCCTCCACCTTTCTGTCTTTCTCTCGTTCTCCTGCTATCCTTGTTTGCCTTACCGAACCCCCAACCCCCCATACACACACACACACACACACTGTCTTTCTCTCTACGCCTTCTAATCAGCTAAACCAAACAGTGAACTCAACTTCCTGTCCATCTGGGGGGGTTGTGCCCGCCCCTTCCTGTCTATGTTATCTCTCTCGTGAGCTAAAGCATTGTGCTCACTTCCTCTTGGCCCGGCCTGGGAAACAACCTTGGAGAGGAAAAGGGAGCGAGGCGAAAAAGGAGAAACATAGGATGAGTGTTTGGGGGGGGGGGGGGGGGGTTAAGATGACAGAAAGATGAAGAGAACAATGTAGAGCAGTGATGAGTTTTCCAGCTGTGCAGAAACACTTCAGAGCGAAGATGTGTGTGATGAAACACTGACACATATCACACATGCAAGTGGTGTTAGCATCCTGTTAGCCTGGCATCTTTATCAAGCACCATCCATTAATCCTTTTTCAGAATACTCACAGCTGAATCTTGAAATTTAGCAAATTAAAAAAAAAAAAAAAAAGTGGCAGAAAAAGACATTCATTATTTTAAGTTCAAAAAACTTTTCGCCTGTTAATGCTCTTATGTTGTCATCATTTTTACATTTTATACATTTGCACTGATGATTTCGTATTAAGTCTTGTGACAGCTCTTATTCCTGCTGAAGACATTTCCAAAATATAAATGATTTTTTACTGATTTTAAAAGCCATGCGTCCATTCATTGAACAAACAATGGTTTACGTCGATGGCGGCCATCTTTGTTTGAGTCAAAGAATAGAGCCTCACCTTGAGAGCAGTTAAAATTTTGCTTCATTGTACAGTGGAGGAAATACTTTTTGTCCTGTCGTTTCAGACCTGTGGCTCTCTCTAGGAAACAGTAGCCTATTAAAGTTGTTTTTTTTGTATTTGTACATTATCACCATTATAGTGATTATGATTTTTATTTTTAAAAATGGGGATGTGAAAGAGAAAAAAAATTGTTGTGTGCTCCATTATCCTCTCTCCTTGCGATTAACTTTCGGGTGTAGTTAGGGTGAGAAAATCTTAGACAGATGAGTCATTTACCAACAATTTCCCCCACCAGTGTTTTCCACTTTGTTTTAATATATATTTCCACATCTTAAAAAAAAATCATTAAATACATCAATCATTAAATACAAAGACGAAGATTTAATGTCATTCCTATTAAAAAGTGTCACATTAGTTTTTTATTGTGTGTACTGGCAACATAATGACCTGGACATAAAACACATTCATTTCAGGCTGCCATTTTAATTTAGTAATTTCTAGTCATTCATCGTCTTATTTGCTTCTCCACAGTGACTCATCAGATATCGCAAAACATTATTAAATCCATGTATTGCCAAACACTTTGGGATTATCTCCACCGTGTAACAGTGATACCATTTTGTCAAGTTGAGTTATTTAATTTCTTAGAGAGTGCCATATTTTAATTAATTTTGATTTGTTGGCCATCAGTTGTTGTCGTGTGAGAGCATTTGTCTCCTCTATAAAATTCAGAGTAAAAATTAATCGCTCAGGTTGGGATACAGGCACAAATAGTTGTTCACCTTTATGTCAACAAACAAAACACTGCACATCTATCAATATACTGGTTAAAAAAACAGATCTTTTAACGATTTAACTGTAATTTCACCTGTGTATCCCATGTGTTATTGAGGGAGTGTGTGAAATGTATATAGAAGAAAAAATGTGCCTAATAATGTTTTTTCTCTGGCCTCACCTTGTTTATGATTATTATTATTATTATTATTATTATTGCCTCAGTTACTGTATTTAGAACACGTAAAAAAATAAAAATAGGTTCATTTTCTACAAGTGAAAAAGAGCAGTGTGTGACGGAAAAATGACTGCCCACGTGAATATATGATTTTCTGTTTATGTGTCTACTTGTGTGTGTGTGTGTGTGAGTGAGTTTGTGTGTGTGCCTGCGATTGTACCCATGTACATACACACAAACAATAAAAAATAGCAACCACATAGATATACATTTTTTCTTGTGTAAATACAGTAAGGGTCTTCAAGGGAGCAACATGTGCCTTTATTCTTTAAAAAAAAAAAAATACTGTAATTCATTTTTTGATGGTGAACACGATGTTTTCTATATTGTTTTTATGGTGTATAGCAACTACTTTTTATTACCTGACATTTTTGTAAGTGTAGAATAAAAATAAACACTCAAATATGTTTTCTTGTTTTGCGATTGGTGTTTTGAAGCTCTGCAACACTTAGCACAGAAACATAAGAAACAAATTGATGAGGTTTTAATTTTATGGACTTGAGGTCAGTGGAAAATTCTCATTGTACCTAAGCTAAGGGCGGCAACTGAAAGGGAAAAGTGCAGATGAAAAAAAAAACATTAATTTACAAAAACATGTATATCATAATTATAATCATAAATCCCTTTTGGGCATTCGGGTTTTAGATTGGTTGAGAAACTGACATCATGTGTTTTTAATGTCTAAATCATCCCTCAGGCCTATAAAAGGTGGAATTTCCTGATATAACCCAACAATAGGTTTGGGTCAGGAACATGATCTGTAGCAGATTTTTCACTAAGAAACTATAAATATAAAGTCTGAGTGTTGACATGGATCTGAAAACAAAAAAAAATGTATATATTCCTGGCCATTTTTTATACAGTCAGTGTTTCTTATATATCAGATTCCATGTGGTGAAGATCAGCTCTGCTCCTCTGTGTAAAATGATCCAATATGTCAAATGTTATACACTGTGAGGCCGTGTGAGGAAAGCTCTGATCTCCACCACCTTCATCTTTGACACATGATCAGATGTGATATCCTCTGTTTTCCTCTCTTTTAACCCGAGTGTAAATTCACCACAGGCTCGTGCAGTTTTATTATTGTAGGGGTCGGCGGATAGAGGGGTCAGACCTCCATATATGTGATTATGTCCATATGAGACATGCGTGAGTCTACAAGATCAGAGAGGAGGGAAGAGGGAAATGCCAAAGTGACGTAAAGTCTCCCAGCACCTCTTGGGTTGACACCCTGCAGGAACTACACACACACACTCACACACACACTCACACACACAAACACTTAAATCTCTCTCAAAAAGGTGATTTTGCAATTTTTATCTGGTTGACAAATGATGCTTTAAAACAGGACGAGGTGTCTAAACACCTTCAGGCTCTGTATGTTGTCAGGAAGCCCAATTTCCAAGAAGTCCTAATATAAAGTCAAAGTAGCTTGTTTATCAGATCCTTGCAAAATGTTTTGGTAGTATAACATCATCGTCCTACTTCTACCCTTATAAACTAATAATGAAATAAATAAACAGAAAGTTTGTGTTTGGATGTTACCTATCTGTGAAACACTGACAATCCAATGTGTTTTTAAAGGTACAAGTGTACACACATATGAAAGTTATCAATAACAATTAATTGTATTTAACCAAATATTAATTATTTAAGGTGTGTGGAGATGTTGCATTACATCTCCATCCTTCAAATATTTGCTCTATCCACAATTCACTTCTGTTTAAGTCTCCGTGATGGACGAATTCAAGCATGCATTTCCTGTTTCGGTGCGATCTCTTGCTGACCCCTAACGACCCCGAGGTCAGGGTTCATCTTTGTTCAACGCTGACTGAGCAGATGTGCTCTGTTGGCCAATAGACACACTGACTGCAGCGTCACTCTCACACACTTTACAGTTTGTCATCGCTCTGATTATATTCATTAATCACATCAGAGTCATGACATCACATCCTTTTTCTTGGGGCTGTGTAAATTTCATTCAATAGATCAATGTATGAATGTAAGGTGACCAGACTTGAAGGCACAACTGGATAAGGGAAGGTGTTACTGTGTCTGTGTTAAAGTCTGAACATTAAGTTAATTAAGGGGCTGGGAGAAAGTGGAGAATAACAGTACAGAGTCTGCCCAGGGAAAGAGATGGAAACATGGGGAAACAGGCTTTAAAGACGCTGCAGAGCCACTCCCATCTCTCAGGTGCAGCCAACGTGGATGAGCTGTTTCAAGCAAAAAATGTGGCTAAAAATGATAAATTATCCTTCTGAGCATGTAAAAAACATCAGCAACATCCATATCACGCGAAACTTTATATATTTTTAAGCCATGATTCATCATTTCTTCATCATCAAATCTACCGGGACAGTACAACCACTACATGACTCTCAGCGATGTGGTTCAGCATGTGACCTCTTTTCTACCACGCAGCCGCTCATATTTCTTCTATGATAACACTCTCTAATTCCACCTAATAAGGAGTAGGGCTGCTTTTAAAAAGCTTTCACTGAGTCCTGTGAGCTGCAGTCACCAAATTCACTCTGTCATCAGTTATTCAGGCGAGGAGGAGGATAGCTGGAAGATGTGACGGATGTCTACAGGAAGGAGAGGGGCTGAAAGGAAAGAAAGATGATGATCGAAAGAGGAGTAAAGGCGTACCTCCATCTCCTGGAAGTACTCCTTTAATCCTCCCTCCTCGACCTCAGCTCAGCCTTGGTCTACTTGTGGTGAGGATGGGACAGGACCAGCTGGCAGCAACATGCTAAACATTGCGTTATGGTCAAACTAGAGAAGCACTATTAAAGCGAGGCGTGCTTTATCCTTGAATACAATTACATGGAGACTGCGAATGGATAATCCTTTGAAGCCTGATCAAAGAAAGTCTGAATTTTGAAGTGGGCTGCAGTTTGTGTTTACATGCAAAAGGAGTTGATATGGGTAGCTGTTTACATGACTACAGTATGTAATCCAGTTAGAGAGCACTTGTCACGAGCAGTTATGTTTGTTTCTGGTAGCATGAAAAACAGCTCAAATGAATGTGAGAGAGTGGCACAGCTACCTGTGCACGTTTCAGACATTTTCCATATTACACACACATCACATGATTTTATGTACAAGTGTTTGATATGTGCATATTTTTCACCGTGGTATTCTCATTTTTTGGCTTGTACCTGGTTTGAGCATGACTTTCTACAGAAAAAATGCCTTCGGCAGCTTCATATCATCCAAAAAAATATCCCCCTTTAGATACCTTCCATTGCTATACGTCATTAATTTATATATTTTTTATTTGTTATGGTTTGCAATCATCTCACATCTCTCAAAACATGTAATAAATTCATACTCTGTGTATTGTTAGTGTATGAAGAAACATAAGCCTTTCGCTGTAAAACATTTCAGTCAACAGATGTACTTCTACCAAAATAACCCTGGAGGGAAGAAACACACAGCTGCGATCAAAACATGTGAGGA